GTGCCGTTCTAGCATGGTCCCGGCGCTTAATCCCAGGTCCCTTGAACAAATCGTGTGCAATTTCAAATCGAGCCCTCATTGCCTAACATGCTGCTCTGGTTTAACTGATGAACTTATGGAACTGTACCTGCCTAATGTATTGAACTCGCTTTCCAACTCGCAAACCGCTTCTGATCCTCCACCCCCATGCTGCCAATGACCGGATGAAACACCGCTGTAAAGGCCGACAACGACAACGACAACTTCACAAGATCGCCTGATATATTGTACCGAAGTCTTTTTTTTTGAGCCAGAATGACGTCTCCTTACCCAACATCAAATTCATTCTCGCCCTCCGTTGCGTCCGACATGGCTGCTGCGTCCAACCGAGGGGTCTCCGATTTGCCGCAGTCTCAGGTAGACGCTATCATCCGCACGAAGCGCAAGGCTCGCGAGCCAAAAGCCTGCTACCCCTGCCATGCGCGCAAGGTTAAATGCGATCGCAATCTGCCGTGTGACGGGTGCGTTAAGCGCGACCATGCAGACCTTTGCTCCTACGAACGCCCTTCCAAGAAGCGATCGCAAGCCTTCCATGATAGCGCTGTCCCTAGTGGGTCAACGGCACCCGTGCATGAATATTCAGCATCATATGCGTTCGATGAAACCCCAGCGGAAGTGAAACACGAGCCAACCTTAAGCCGACCGAGTGTCCCTGCCACAGGTGGTGGCCGTATATCAATCGCCCGCGAGGAATGGGATAATGTGCGCAATAGGTTGCAGGAAATGGAGTCTACTATTTCCTCCCTTCGAGTCGGGTTAGAGAGGGCGGAAGACGGCCTCCCAGCCTCCATGGAAACCGGAAGCGTGCATAGTGGCGATGCGAGTTCCCGTTCCAAGTGTGCCTCGCCGGAACGCGAGGGCATCCATGCTGCCAATACTCTTGGCAAAGGCACGGTTCATTTGGGATCTCGCTCTGTTATGGCTTATATCTTAAACAATCAGTCTGGGTCTGATCAACTTCAGGCACTTTTGGAAGGAGGAATACTGCCCAAGCTTGGTTTGGACAATGAGTCTGCGACATATCCATTTGTTGATCTATGGTCCTCCGATATGTCAACATTCGATATTACCGCCGTCTGCAGCGCCCTTCCCACTGATCAACAGTGCAGAGAGTGAGTAGCCTTCTTAAATTGAACCCCTTGATTGAGATTGGTTGGGCTAACTTTGCTTTCTTGTAGATTATTCTACTACTACAAGGATATTTCAGGAGCCATATACCCTGTTTTAGAGGACATCTTTGAGTTTGAGAACACACTCGAGCTCCTGCTGGGAACAAGAGCTTCCATGGGTGGCGAGTACCTAGCCGATGCAGATCAAGCACAGAAGCCTTTCGGGGTAAGCATTGCGTACCTGGGACTACTGTTCGCTATCCTTGCCTCTGGGTGCCAGTCATCCGACTATGGGAGCAAGGAAAGGGAATTAACCTCTCAGGTTTATGGTATGCGACCTACACCGAAATTCTTATTGGAGTCGTTGGCTAACACTTTGAATAGTGTGCTGCTCTTACCAGTGCCTCCGCATGACAAATTTCCTCTCCCAACCCACCATTCAGGCAATTCAAACTCTCCTAGTGATAGGAAACGTTTTGTCATACAACATGAATCCTGGAATTTCTTATGTCTTGCTCGGCATGACACTTCGCATGGGCTTGGCGCTCGGTCTCCATGTGGAGTCGAGTCGCTTCTCGTCAGCTGAACGATACCGCCGACGACATGTTTGGTAAGATAATTTTTCGTTCGTAGCCCGAAAGTATGTGGCCCTGACATGAATAGGTGGTCCATGGCATGGCAAGACAGCCATTTTTCGCTCTCCTACGACCGGCCTTCCACCACTGCAGTGAGCCAGCCAGATATTGCTTATAGGGATGGCTCCAAACCTGGCGATTTATCCTATTTCGAAAGTCTCTCTCGTGTCATTTCTCTTGCACTAGAGGTTGTCCGCATTCGCATGTTGAGCCCGCACTCGCAGATAAGCTTGGAAAGCATACAAACATATAAGGACCGCATCCAGAAGATCATGGTAGAGGCAAAGCCATACCTGCGAGAGGCAATGGACTGTTCCACGCCTACGCAGCACCTGGAGCGCGTTGTGTTAAAACTGCATGCTTCTTATTTCGCCTCTGAGCTCTGCCGGCCAGCGCTCAAACCCATGGCTGACTTGAGCCACGCCAACGCAGCCAGCATGCGCGAAAAATGCATTATGAATCTGATGACGACCGTTGAAGCTTACATCGAAATGCACAACATCAGCTCCCACGCAGCTCGTTCCTGGATCTTATTGCAGCGGGCGATTAGTTCCGCATTCCTGCTTGCTGTCATCGATGAGGCGAAAGCGGACCCGAATGTGTGGAATCTTCTCTACTCACTCGAGGGCATCATCGCCCAAAGAGCAAGCACGGAACGTGCCTATGATTCCAACGAGGCCCAAACTGTGGCCAGTATGACATCGCCGCCCCAAGCACTCGGGACTTACGACCCAATCACGGGCGTCAGGAACCTCACAGGTCCCATCCCGGTGGATCCAAATTCTCCGGTTGGGATCCCCCCCGATCCACAAACGCAATGGGCCAAGTCACTAGCGAAAACACATCGTGCTTTGCAAAAACTTCTTGCCGCACTTGGAAACCCATCTACGCGTTCAATGGGACGCAATGGTACGCCCGTTTACTCCAATAATCCTAACCTCAACCCGACTTCCGCTTCCATGGGGGCATATGGTCCTGGGCAGGCGAACATGACTCCCAGCGTTGGTTCCCTTCCGCCCCCTACGCCAGAAAGCTCCGCTAGCGGTGAATGGACAATGCCCAACATACTGGATCGCGCAGCGGAGTATATTCATCCACCCCTGTGGGGCTAGTGATTGGAGGCGAAAAGCGTTTAGTTTTCAGTTGTTTTTTTCTTCAGCGCGGCGCCGGAGTCTCTTTTCGGTTCAACTCATGATTGTCGTTTTTTTTTTTGCAAACTTTTGTCCTTCAATTATTGCAGGGGAGGCTGTTCTTACGAGTTGAGGGTTTCTGCAGTGTGATATCCGTCGTTGAACATATAGTATGTGTATAATCTCTCTTACAGAATCTTAAATCGCAATACTTTGGATCTAATACGCTTTCTGTAGACCGAGGATTATGCAAAGACAGAGTCTTTCCCTTTCCATAAGGCTCGGAGTAGAATTGCTTCCTTCTCTGGTTAGTTTTCGTCAGCGAAAAGTAGTTAATCGCCACAGCGATATTCAAGAATGAGCTTGTAATAAAAGGCCCTCTTTTCCTTCTCTTCTCTACTTCAGATTTACATTTCACTCCACCATTCTCCATTCAGCGAGGAGCTGTACGGAGTAGAGTGAGCCCACATCCCTAGGGTAATTAATCATGGTCTCCCCCATAGCAGATGCATTGAAATTGATCGTACCTAATTAGAAAGGCGGTACTGGAAATCCAGGCAGGAGTATCAATCCCCTACAACAATAGTTATGGTTATGACTTCTGAATCAATTGGGTTTTATATTATTTCTGGTCACTTTTTGTTTATTCCAAATGCTACTCCCAATAGTACTTATGAGTCCAGGAAAGTTCAATGATGGCGATGAACTCTCCCTGAAGTCGTTGCGTCGCGCAGGGAGGTGCTGGCACACTGGCACTCCAGGATCTAGGCATATACCAAGACTGGTTGAAGATGTGGCTAGAAGACTAGGATCCATCTACGAGCACTTAAACCAATAGCTGCTGACACCAAGAAGAGTACTGGCTATGAGACAGCCTCGTTTCCAAGCGCATGGACATCTTGCAAGAATCTCCAACCGTCGAATCGGTGAATGCGGAGACCCGGGTTGGACAAAGTCGAGCAGTTATTTTCGGAGTCAGCAGAGTCAGAAACGCTTTGAGGTAAAATGCACTTCAGCCTTTCTAATCTCTTTCAAGCGAAATCCCAGAATCAGCTCTGAGAATCTCACTACTGCTGTTATTTATCCTTCCCACGCTTCCGCCAAAAAAACGTCTACATCTAATGGCGTATCTGACTACGTTGTACCTGAAAAGGGAAAACAACTAGTGTAGATTCGCTAAGATCTAAATGGACGAGGGAGAGGGAGAGAGGAAGAGGGAGTGGAACTATCTGATGATCTGAACCCACATGGGTGACCGCCTTCCGGTCACCCAACATCCCCCCTACAGATCTCATATCTCCTGTTTTGAAAATGATGATCTAGAAATGTCGTAATCGTGGTAGTCGTAAAAAAACCCCAAATTTTCCTTTGAATTAAGTCATCCCGATAAGCTTCAAGAAAGCTCGGAATTGCTCTTTGGGAAGCGCCTTCGTAAACCCGTCCGCCGCGTTCTGCTTTGTGTCAACCCTCAGGATGTTTATGTGTCCTTGGGCCACGGCGTCCTTCACGAAGAACCATCGGAGTGCCAGCCATCTGGTAGCAGACTTGCCTCCCTTCTTTGTCAGTAGCAACTGTGAATTGATGTTGTCGGTGTAGATAACTGTGGGATCGGGTCTTGGCAGGCTCAGTGAGTCTGCAACCTTAGCAAGCCACATAGCATCCCGGGCCGGCTGGTCGAGCGCACACCATTCTGCTATTATTGTGGAGTTCGCTGTGATCGTCTGCTTTTTAGTAGACCAAGCTACTGGGACTCCTGTAAAGAACCAGATACATCCTTCGGTTGATTTGGAGTCTGTCTAGTCTGCGTGTGATGCGTCTGTGAATGCTATGAATTGTAGTTCGTCCGACTTTCCAAAGATCAGTCCTATCTTAGGGTTGTGTCTGAGGTACTTGACGACGTGTCTCATTGCCTCGAGATCAGAAAAAGTCGGTGTTGCTAGTCTGTGTTGTAGGCGTGTGACGGCGAATCTGATATCTGGTCTTGTCTTGATGGTAAGCTAGTTGAGCATCCCTACTACTGTCTGGTAGTGTTCGAAGTTCTCGTCGTCGAGTAGGTTAGAGTCAATATCTTCTGGGTTAGACTCTCTCTATCCTGGTGGTAGTGGTGTTTCTTTCGTTCCCGTAGTATCTGTAATGCGTAGAATCTTTTGTACGTAGGCTTCTTGAGACATGATAATCGTCCCAGCGTTGTAATCTCTGTCGAGTGCGCAGTTAAGATACTGCTTTGGTTCTCCCAGGTCTTTCATGTCATAATGTTTCTTGAGTTGCTTTACGACCGAGTCTATCTCTCCGGAGGTGGGTGCGGTAATGATAAAGTCATCGACATGGATTATTATGATTGTTAGATCCGCGCAGTTCTTTCCCATCTTGACGTAGATATACGGGTTGTCCTTGAGGGGTCTGAAGCCGGTTTGTTGAAGCTTACAGTCTATCTCCTCGTTCCAGAGGAAGGCAGAGTCTCGTAGGCCGAAAAGAGCCTGGTTAAGTATATATACCCATTGCTTTGAATTTCCTTCTGTGTCTGCAAACTCGAAACCCGTTGGCTGTCTTATGTATACCGTCTCCGTATCTTTTCTTGATGCGTTAAGGTAAGCCGCTGTGAAATCCACTTGATGCCATTCGAGGCCGTAGACTGCGATGAGTGTTAAGACAATTTTGATCATCGTTTCCGATATAACCGGTGTGTAAGACTCGCTCGAGTTATCGCTTTTCTCTTGGAAGTTGCCGCAGATAACCTATCTTGCCTTAAAGCTGTAGACTTTATCTCTCGTGTTCGTCTTAACGGTAAAACGCTATTGTCCTGGAAGGACTTTCGCCTTCGGTGGTTTTAGGATCAACGTCTATGTTCTCTTCGCGGTAAGGTTATTAAGCTGTTTTTCTATTGCTTCCTTCTATTCGTTCCAGAAAGGTGATTTTTGTGCTTGTTTAAAACTTGATGGTAGGTCGACGTCCTTATTGTGAAGAGGTTTTCCGTTGTATATGAAAGGTGCGTCAATGTCTACCTGATCGGAGTTGTCTGGCGAAAGTTTCTTTGCGTTTCCTTCTTGAGGAGGTTTGTGTTTTTCCGCACGCTTGATATCCCTCTTTTGCTTCTTATATTCGATGTTTAGGAGTTTTTGTTTAGGATCCTGATATCTCTCTGGTGGGATACCGATGTTGCTCCTTTTTGATCTCCTGACCGAAGGTTCTTGAATTTGAGTTGGTGCTGCTGTTACAGGTTCTGCGGTAGGTACGATAGGAGTAATCTTCTCCTGTGTCTGTGTCAGTTGCGTAGTGTGCCGAGGCGCTTTATAAGTGTCCTGCGTTGATGTTTGTTACGTAGCTATCTATTGTTCACTGCGTTCTGGAGTCTGTTGAGTTGGTGAAGAGAAAGGATACTGGTACTCTGTCCTTGTCTATTCTGGGGACGGAGTGTCTTCCCTTGGAGTTGACTCTCGTGGGGAGCTGGTTTCCCTGATTAAGTCCTGTTCAATCGAGTCTGTGTACTAGTGTACTTCCAGTATGTCTATCTCTTCTGCGTTGATTCTAGCTGTGAGTTCCTCAAGTCTTCTTTGGAAGTTGGCTTTCCTCTCTGCTAGCTTTTCTGTTATTGTAATTTGCTCCGTCTGAGGGGTTGCATTCTTACTGTGAACAGTCTGTGTCTCCTCTTGGATTGGAGTAAGAGTCTGGTTGACTCTTTGCGCTGTTAACTGTTCTGTGTTTTTGGGAATTGGTGTCCCTCTCTGAAGTCTCCTAAGGATCGATCTTATGTGCCTTAGTGTAGGGAGTAGCCTCTGTCGACGAGGTATTACTGGGGTCTCTGGTATGGTTGAAACGCTGCCTTGAATTGTGGGTAAGTGAATTGTTGACGGGTTTACTGGATCCTGTCTGTAGACTGTTACAATCTCTGTCCTTGGTTCGGTTCTGGCTGTGTCGATCAGCGGGATGGAAATTTCGTTTGTATCGTTATCTCCTGGGGGTTTCGATGGCTTTGGCGCTACCGGTACTCCTCCCTCCTGATCTTCGTCCCTTGGTTGAGGAAAGCTGACGTTCCTCGAGATTGTAATCTTCCTAGTTTCCGGATTCCAGATTTTTAGAATATGTCCGTTATCCCCCTTATAACCTATGAGGTGTCCTTTCTAAGATCTTAGAGCGGCTTTGCGTGCCTGTACTCTCTTCTCCTTCGGAATATGAATGTAGACGGTTGTTCCCTATGGTCTGAGGTGCTTTAGTAACGGATCTGGGTTGTCGATTCCGAGTTCTGTGCGCTAGTGTTTGAGTAGCGATGTTTGAGACTTTGGGTTGGTTAATCTGTTAATAGTGTAGATTGCAGTTTCTACTGCGTAGGGCCACAGCTCCTTAGGTAGCTTAGTATCGATGATTATCGTTCTCTGAATGTCGTTGACGTATCTGCCGAAGCGTTCTACCGCGCCGTTGGGCTCTGCTGTATAGGGTGGTGTAACTTTGAAAGTCATTCCCTTTTTTATGTCCTAAGTGATGAAGTTCTTAAATTCTATTCTACCATCGAGTCTCTATATTCCGGGGTAGCGCCTAGTTCGGAGTTTGATTTTTTCGCAAAATGCTTGAAGCTTGACAAATGCTTTACCTTTGTTTATGAGAGTCGGCCCCTCGAGATATCTTGTTGTGTCGTTGAGGATAGGTATCTAGTACTTTTCACCGTTTGGGCCCTTAGGTTTTATAGGCTGTGTGTCTATATGAAATTTCTATGCTACGTCCTGAACCTGAAATTGCGGTTTACGAGAAATCTGTTTCTTGGATTTACCTTGAAAACATGCTTTACAGTCGAAGTATTCTGTTCTATACTGTTCTTTGTCGTTAAGCTCTTGTGCTTGTTTTAGCGTTGAAGTAAGTTTGGCTTTTCTAGCGTGTCTAAGGCGTCGATATACCTTAAAGGCAGAAATTTTATTGACTAATCCTGTTTCTTCGTTACTGTCCGACCTGTAGGATGAATCTTCTTCGTGTGAATCGTCTTCTTTAGGACCGATGAGGTACGGAACCCCGAGTGATGTATTTGTAACTCTAACGGTTTTTCCAGTGCTATCTGTAAGTCGCTTAGTTCTTATGTTATACGAGATATCCTGTTCTTCTAGGAGTTTCTGTATGCTGAACAATTTGCCGTGACCCCTTGGGCTGTAGTAGCCTTTTGTCAGGAAGGTATATGTTGTTCTGTCTTTGAGACCTGCTTTAACAAGGACCTCTCTGTGTCCTTCAGTTACCACTCTGTTGCCGGAGTAGTCCTGGTAGGCGTATGCCGATTCCGGGCTGTCCTCCTGGTATATGTAGAAATCTTCGAAGTCGTGGGTGAGTGTTTTGTCTGATCCGGTGTTAATTAGCTAGCTGTTGAAACTATCTGTGTGACGAGCTGTTGCCGTTATGGCTATATTGCTTTGCCCCTCGCTTCGCAGTGCGATCGAGTAATTCCATACGTATGGGCTGTGTATCCAGTGTGTGGGTGGATCTTCTGATAGATAGGAACACTTTTGAGCTTTGTGTGGCCCGAAACCGCAGTAGGTATACATCCCGCTCTTATCCCTTTGTATTCCTTCCTTCTTTTCCTTGATATACTTATGGATATCTTTACCAGGAGGTGGTTGGTTGTGAAGGGTCTTCTTCTTCTTGGGTTCGTTGGATGTACTTGAGTTATCCTTCGAAGATTTGTTGTCTTGGCTTGAGGAGGCTTCGCTGTTACCTCCTTTGCCGCCCCTCTTACTACCTTGTCCTCCGCGTCTTCCGCCGCGGTTGTTACCCCGTCCCCTTGAGGACTGGGCTGCGTTAGCAGTCCCTTCTCTGTTGGAAACTGCCTGGAGGCTCTTGTAATATTGGTCTATCTTTTCGAGTGTGATTTTCTTAGGTTCGATATTACTAATCTCCTCGATGATGAATTGAACCTTGGATATTTCTTTATCTAATTGCCGTAGAACTTGTGATAGTGCGTGAAAAGGGTGTGGTTGAATTTTGAATTGCGAAAGAACGTGGTATTGTTTCTGGTATTCTGTAATGAATTCCTTTGCAGTGTTGAAGTCCGCTCGTTTTATTTCGTCGAACTTTTTTGTTTTGTTTAGTGTATTTTCGGCCTTGTCAGAGCCTTGCACTATTAATATGATTTTATCGAACATTGTGTCGGCGAATTCCGGGAGGTACGAGAGATTCTGGATTCGTTCTTGGAGTATATCGTCAACCTGAACGTACAGCTAGCTAGCCACTGTGTGTGACCAGTACTCCTATCTGTCAAATTTCGGGTTACCTACAGTGGGGCGAGGCATGCTGCTGTCAATGATATATTCTAGTCTCAATGGCGCGAGAGCGAATTTCACAGGGATCGCCTATCCACGAGGATTTCTGGAATTGTATTCGAGTGCTTTGACTTTCTGCATTTTCGCAGCCGAGATGTCAGGTAAGTTAGTGGCCTGATTCTTCTCGTTGTATCCGTTACCCGATGACATTGTGTTGGCCTGGGGTTGAGAGGTGTTTCCTATCTCCTGAGACGCGTTGTTATTGCCTGATGGCAAAAATTGTGACTGATTATTCGGGTTGTTATCCCCAGAGTCGATACCGCTATTAGCCATGCTGAGAGCTGGTTTGCCAATTCTGTTGTTGATTGAGGCTTGCGAGGATCAAATCCGATTGGCGAGAAACGCGCGTTGTGTGGGTTAAGCGCCGGGAAGTGGGGTCCAGGAAAGAGACTTAGGGTTGGAGGTTGCTAGCGGTCCTTGCTAGCTAGAGACAAGTGCTCATAACCTAATGGCGTATCTGACTACGTTGTACCTGAAAAGGGAAAACAACTAGTGTAGATTCGCTAAGATCTAAATGGACGAGGGAGAGGGAGAGAGGAAGAGGGAGTGGAACTATCTGATGATCTGAACCCACATGGGTGACCGCCTTCCGGTCACCCAACAACATCGGTACGTCTTGCAAGACCAAATTGCAATTTGTCGTGGCAATTATGTCTCTTAGATCTTCCAACAAGTACTACAAAGTCGGGGTCCTCCTGTTTCCTGGCGCAGACATCCTCGATTTTGCAGGCCCGATCGAAGTCCTATCCCATGTCTCGCACAACCGAAACCCAGAAAACCCCAAAAGAATGTTCGAAATCACAACTGTGGCTTGCAGCCCCACGATTCGTGCTGCAAATTTGCTTACGGTTCATGCAGACCTGCTTTTGCCAGACGCGGTCGATCGAATTTCCGACTTTCATATCCTAGTCATCCCAGGTGGTCCCCCGTCAGTTTTGCAGCCATTGCTAGAAAACAGCACACCAGAGCTTGATTTGATTCGCAAGTTTGTAGCGCTACCTGTTGCTTTGTTATCAGGCACCAGGATTTTGCTGTCGATTTGCACGGGCGCCTTTCTGCTCGGGGCTGCGGGTATACTCGGCGGAATGACTGTTACAACCCACCATCATGCTCTTGACAGACTTCGAGATATTTGTGCCCAGTTCAATGCTCCGGGGGATCATACTACTACTGTGCTGTACAGGCGATACATTGATGGGGGTCTGTTGAATGAGACGGTGTTCGACTCATCACGGCCAGAGGGGTCGGCTCAGGCTTAGACGCCACATGCTACCTTGTTAGTCAATTGACAACACATGACATGGCTGCATTTGTTACTCGGGTTATGAAGTATGATTGGCGTGAGCTCAAAGAGTGAGCTGCAGGTTTCGCGAACACTATCTTGTGAATCAAGTAGCAGCGTGGAATCGGAACACAGCAGAGGTGTCACAACACGTGTGCTTAGCTCTGTCCAATAAATTTGAAACTTGGATGCATTGCGAGTCATTGGACACCATGTATAATTGAGGCTTTTCTCATTTACGCTGGGAATATCCTTCCAACCACCTCATTCTTTGGTTCTACGTGATCTTTGCTAACAACACTGAACGGTTGAGTGAACCTTTTTTAATTTAAGCTTCTCAGACTCAGCATTCGATCTACCGAATCTAACTTCAAGCCTTTTACCAAATTGGCCAAGGCTTTTTAGCGAATTCCCTCCACAATTACCTCATTCATGGGATGAAGTAGAGAAGTAAAGGCCCCAAGTTGTACAGGGTGATGGCCATTCCTGTCTGGGATGCCCTAGGTTGAACCTAAGACTTGACCTGTTGGTCCGCATTAGGAGTTACAGTCATCGGAACGGTCCTGTCTCGAGGTCAGTTATCTAGCTGGTGCTGTTTTAGCCGATGCAGGTTATATAGCACCATCTGGTTCTAGGTAAAACAACACATCTTATCTATTTCCTCAGGACTCAAGTGAGACCAATACAGTTACCTTCTAATCAAGCTTTTGTCTCATAATTTTTCTGGGTAGATCAGTGCCTGGCTCAGAGTATCTCCCTTGGAAACATACATTCCACATCGAGCCACAATGGTCGCCTTGGCACCGGGTGCGGAAATGGTTCCCACTACATACCACCCTAAGCTCGCTGAGAATGGAATCCCATTCTTCGGCAATGGAATGTCCAATCAGAAAGTCAAGATGCAGACTGTAGAGATGACGCCTCAATATGACAGTGCCGATCCGGTGACCATTGCCTCAAACGGCAATGGTACTCAACAAAATGTCAATGGATTCACCTCTGAAATCTCGAATACTTTATCGGAAAATAAATCGATAGCTATGGAGGTATTGAAGATCATCGAAAGCTATGGTGTCGACTTTGAGAAGGCCGGTATCTCCTGGAAGGGCTTTGAGTCGTTTGTTCCAATTGTCCTGGAGCAAATCGCCAGACAAGAGCCCATCCGCATGATATTGCCCGCATTTCCTTTCAAGTCGCCTAATGCACGCAGTAAGGTGCTGGGTACTATGCCCGACTTTGGGGAAGAATTGGCATTGGCCCATTTGAATGGACTTTGCCAAAATATCGGTGCAGTATACGCCCCTGGTGCCGATATCTACATCAGTTCGGATGGGCTGGTATACAATGGTAAAGAACACAATCGAGATGATTTTCCTAGCTGGAATACTGACATGTGTTAGATCTCCTGAGCGTCCCCGATGAAACCGTTTGGGATTATGGGGAGGCCCTGCGAAAAATGGCCGTCGAAAAAGAGCTCCATCATGTCAAATTTATTCGCCTTTTCGAACTTCTCGAGCATCCATGGTTCCCATCCTCAACTCCGGAGTCCGCAAAGGCATTCTATTTGGCCCACGCTAGTTGTCTCCGCCGAGAACTGATGTACACCTTTGCTGACCCGAGCTTCGATGCGACGGAGGCGATCAAAACCGACAATGATACATGCCTAACATACCGGGGCTACATTAAATTTCTAACCAAAGATCTGGCTCATCTAGAGGAGAAGGATAAATCTATGTCAAAACGCGCTCGGCAAGCGCATATTGCCGAGACCGCACGGCAGATGATCATTCGGGGCAAGATGTTCGCGGCGGCCATCAAAGCCAACCGCAAAGATTACGTACGACTGTCTATCCACGAGTCTGCAGGCGAGAAAAAGCTTTCTATCTCGCTTGTTCCACAGATGCGAGGAACACTGGGTCATACGCCTTGGCACTCTGTTGTGGCTGTCGGACTGGATGGTTTATACTGCATGGTTCACGCTGAAGATGTACGCGACACGCACGACCTTATCTATAAAAACGGACAACCATATTTCTTCCGTGAAAGGTCGAGTCTCTTTGACTGGACCGAGGACGGCTTATCTGTCAAGTTCGAGCATCTCTATCCCTGCGGACTCATCATCCGCCCCGCCGATATCGACAATGTCAATCCTCCACCGTCAATCCGCTCCATCCCCATGAGAAAGGTCCGCCAGCTGTCGAATGGCATGTCCCCGATTGTCCTACGTGGATTTTCCGAGACTCTAGAAGAAGATCTCTACGTCCAAAAGGGAGAAGAGCTGGGTACTATTCTCCCGTGGAGCTTTGGCATAATCCAAAAAGTACGGGACAACGGCCGCTCTGACAAAATGGGCAACAATGTGACCTCGAACGAGGCTATGCCAATGCATTTTGATGGGATGTTCAAGTTCGACGAGATTACCGACCCAGAAACAGGCGAGATGAAGAAAGTCCAACACCCACCGGGCTATCAGTTCTTCACTTGTCCTGCTACTGCGCCAAAGGGCAATGGGTATACCTTGTTTGCGAGCTCCCGGTTGTTTTTCCGGTACCTACCTCTCCCATGGTCTGCCGAACGTCTCGAAACAATTACCTGGGCTATGGACAACGATGGGTTCTGGAATGCAAAACTCAAGAATTTGCCGTTGATCGTCAAGCACCCTATCTCTGGTCTTCCGTGTCTGCGTTGGCATCAGCCATGGGACTCAACCAAGACCAAATTCTCGACCTGTGAGGTTTCAATTGAGAATGACGATAATGATCTAGCTCAGGTTGTGGATCGCATCACATATGACTATAGAGTTTGTCTTCGCTTTGGTTGGGAGAAGGGTGATCTGCTGATTAGTGATAATACTGCCATGCTGCATACTCGCACTGGATATATCAGTAACTGTGATCGGGAGCTGTGGCGAATTCACTGTGACTGAGATTTTCTTATGTGTCTTTGCTTTCAATATTGTGTGCTCTGTTATTCTTTTCTGTCCATGGTCACTCGTTTTCTTGCCCTCATGTTTGGCTTATATTTGGTGCAAAGATATAGAGTATTCTGAAGCAATTACACAAGTCTTCAATACAATATCCAATAGATTTCGAGTCTGTGTCTGTGGAATTCCGTACTTGGTCGGTTAACCTTTAATTCTTCTCTTTTGCCATTTGATCTGGCCAGTTGCGTGGAACTATGAAGATAAAGACCGTTTTTATTAACTCTACTATTACCTCATTATGTTCATTGGAAGTGTCTTCCGTATTCAATCCAGTTAGGGTGGTAAGTCTACCTCGAAGTATCCTAATTCATATAGTCAACTTATATATTCCGGACCACTATTATACGGGATACACTTCATAAGCTTTCACTGTCGGTAAATCTAGAAGAATTTTTCTCTAGATAGCAGACGTCAAGATATATTCACAATTTATCCATTCCCATTCTTTGTATATATCCCACTATCGGCCCCTGCTCTACCACTTCTATCTTTATACACCGCCACACAGACTCATATCATCCTAACAGGAAACGCTCCCCCCGGGGTAATTGAATTTGCCATCTTGTGTAATGGACAAGCTTGCAAATATGACCCCCCGCCCATCCATGATTTTGAAGCGGAGTACGCAGGCGGCCCAGGGTGTATATTTTGAGGATAACACAGACAACCCAGGCTCTGGGAGTCAGACTGCTGTGCTGCAGGACCATTATTTGGCCCGGTATGACCAGAACCATATGAATAATTTGGAGAAGGGAATACAGCCATAGACGCCGATGCCGGAGACTCTGGGGGAACCAAAACAATCACTTTGTATTGGGGAGACATGGTGTTGATGACCTGGATAATTTGTGGTAATGCCTGTTCTACTTTTTATCAGTTTCTTGGCTCAGATAATAACTCATATACCGTGCAGTTGGAGTACTGACCAGTTGCAACGTAGTACAGCGGCTGATTGGGTGCTGCTGTAGACAAAGAGTCTGGTACTAACGTCTCCGGTGTACTTATCATTTCCCGGTATGTCTCCCCACTGATACCAGAGCTGGGTGGTGATGTGATATGGTTCAGCTGTACTGGAGCCCTTGTTATGGGACATATTGGACTTGCTTCACTGACTCCAGTAAATTGGGATAGGTCGCCAGGGTACGCCTGTTGTGGGAATGTGTTGAGGTCGTTTGGCCATGATTGCGAGAACGGTGGATATGACGGCATGAATGAGGTACATTGGTCTGGGATTAAAGGGGAGACACAGACACCGCGCGAGGTAAAGACGGGCTCAGTCTCCGAGTAAGAGGAATGAGACCTCGGGAACAGCGAAGGATTATATAACTGATCCCATCCGTTTAGAGCAGCTGCAGCTCTCAGTTCGTTGGCGATGACGCGATCTTGAAGCTTTGCAATGCGTTCCCTAATCTTGCGACCTAGGCTCTGTCAGTTTCCAACCCGTCGTCTCTGTTTGGGGCAATATCCTACGGTGGTTTCTTTGGGAAAGGCGGTTTTGCAGTCTCCTTCTCTCCAGTGGATCTTGTGTTTGGCTGAGAATATCATCCTTGGGACTCATAGACTGATCTTCCATCTTCATCTTGTAAAGTATTGTTTTTTTACGGTCTTATGGTCTTGAGGGATATTTTCGGGCTCGGGGATGTTGCATATCTCATATAAATCTCGTCAGCAGAGGCTCCGAGTTGATATCCAGCACAGGAACTCAGAGGGAAAAGGCCCCTCGCCGTCAGCCTCCCTTGGCTTTATACAGGCCGTGCGCCCACGAGGGAAAGTCACGCCTGATCTCACTGTGTGACGCAACTTGTACAACGGATCTTCGGTAATCAGTGATTCGGTCTGAAAGCCACTGGTTCAACCTCCGCCTTTTCAGCCTCGTGATGCTGTTTTACCTGACTATGTCAAAATACCTGCCTTTCTCAGCTTGCCAACCCTTTGCAGAAAAAGCTCCTGTGCCGACTCGCGCATTCTTGGAGAAGGTTTCATGATGGTCGCACGAGGGGGTGTAATAAGAGGCTATCCTCGGCATGGGCATGTGCATGGACATGGTGCTGCCCTGAATTCTTTCATTCCTTGGTTCCAGTGGCTTGGGGTTCGCCACAGCCCATGGAACTCTCAGCTCTAATCCATCTCACTGGCTCGAAGACTCGCTTGTCAAAGCCCACCAGACTAGTTTTAGACCCCTTGACGTGGCAAAACCGTCTTACCATTCCCTCAGTGGTAACCTACGTGCCCCCGGTACTTTGGATAAGTATCCCGCCTACTTATACTTTAAATTACACGTTGTCGTCAAAGCATCTTCTTGTAGATTCGGACATCTCCGAATTCAGCTTTTATATACGACCCGATTACATGGCCCACATGGCAATGGTAATTGCCATTGTCTGATGTTCAAATTGGTATTTAATCAGAGAGACGATTTCCTATAGTGATTTACCTGTCTTCAGGCCGACAGCGGCCAACAGTTCACAGAAGACAGGGAGTTCAGGCTATGGTGACAGGCTACCAGTTGCGAGGGAAGTACAGCTAGTGCAACGTTCAATCTGAAGTCTAAAAATAAGACACGTCGTGTATTGGCCCCCTCAATGCTGCAAGAACAATGAGCTCACGCTGGATATACTCCGGGTTTGATCCAAACTGCCAGTTTTCTTATATATTTTCTTACTCTGGGGTTTGGAGAGGTCACATTACCTTCTTGGTAATGTCAATTGGTTTGAAAGTCCGAGGATATGGCGACGAGCACCTCCCTAAGGAGTTATTCATGCAGTGGCGTCATAGACGGGCTGATTTCCCATTCTCGGTCCAACAGCTCAGAGTGTCAATGAACTTCTTTCGTGAACATGGGGCACTGCTGTGTGGTGCCACTGTGATCGCTCATTCATGCTTCATGCTCCCTGGATATATGCATGTGAGATCTAGCCGTAGGAACTGGCGGAAGATCCAGTTCGGTTTATTGTTGGATTGGATTCTGGAAAGCAAATCTCTCTGTGTAACTGCGTGATGCAGAGAATTGTTATCCCGCAAGTGGTTTGTATGCTCCGTCTGTATTATGAGTCTAGGATATAAATAAATCCGTGCAGCCCTCCATATGTGTAATATAAAGCAATACAGCATAGCATTCACATGATAGTAGAATATATACAAAATAAGGCAATATTTGCATAATGAGACTACAACTAAGGGCGGCTGTCCAAGCATAGACAACTAAATCCATTGTTCATCAATTCATCAGCCTTGACTTTGTTGGTCGACATCTCAGCCAGTACGTCAAGGATTCTGTCGGCGGCTGGGCCAGCCAAATAGTACTACCACTGTCTCCGACTCTGCTATCTTCCCTCCTCCAGTCACCACAAGCCTTTCTATCAGAGTAGCTTGATAGAATGGACTCTTTTCGCAGGACAGTGGGCAGCCTTCTCCCATACCATCTTCTCTCTTATGGCTCTCTCCTCGGGACTGAGCTCTATCAGGTACGTCTCTTGTCCCTTGAAGAAACAAGAAATCTCATGACTCACGATGTCTAGAGCTTTATCAATACAAAAATTTGCTACCAATTTTTACCAATGAAGGAGTTCATTATCCTCCAAAAGCGCCTTTTCCCCATCTACTTCGGAACCCAGGTCGGACTCACAGTGTTGACGGCAGCAACATACCCACCATACAGCATTTTGTCATTGGTCAAAGATCCATGGGGCGTAGCTTCTCTTTGTTTAATTGCTTTGACGGGATGTCTGAATTGGTTCGTCCATGGACCTCAGACGACCACTGCGATGTTGGTCAGGAGGGCGCTACAGGGTAGGTTCTTCGTGAAGCGCCAAACTTGATTATACGGCTAACATAAATTCACCATGCAGGAAGCGAGAGCACCGATGCTGACTCCGATGGGTCGAAGGTGCTTCGGGCTAACCGTACCTTCGCGCGAAATCATGTAATGGCTATCCATTTGAATGCTATTGCTATGATAGCCACTGTATTTTACGGATTCTCGCTATCTGCTACAATTTTAGCAGGAGCTTAGGCAAATCCTATTTCAGATCTTGGACAAGAGCTTTGGTACATGTGTGGCTGTCTACATATTCCTCTTCAACCCAATAGATACAATACCAGCAAGCTAGTCTATAGCAATCTTCTGTACCAATTCAACTAGGCTGAGTCTCTTCCTAAGCATCACATAGTCTGCATTCAATAAGAGAATATAATTGAATGCCGTCATGAGTTATGGAACAAATCTCGCGCGAAGGTGAACCTGCAGAGATCACGCGTCACCCCGACGGAAACCTGACGGTCATGAGAAAATGAGTCGAGGAATGACCCAGTCAAAGCGACCACTAGGCCATATTACTATATCCACAAGTTGCCAAGCTAGACATCCTGTAACCTCCGTTTGTGAGTACCATTTGGGGGACTATATTCCTCACCACACAGAAACGTTGAGCGCACAATCACCAAAATGCAAATTGAACACACCAAAGCCACCTAGCAGTAGAATCCAGCAGAAAGATGGCCCAAAAAAGGTACGGTGGACAGTACGACCTCAGCGCAGGCGTGTTGACTTCTGCTGACACCTAATGCATTAGGGTGCGGCGGACCAAGTAGACACCTAATTCGCTGTATAGTACCAGCAATAGAGTAGCAGACCCCCGTTTTATTCTCTTTGGTTCTCGTTTCTACCAAATCTATCAGGCCTACGCCCAACATGGCCTTAGCCTTATCCTCCATACTTCTCTCCATACTCCTAATCATCCTCCTCCCACCTCTCCTCTTCCTAACCTGGTACCTCCGTGTCTCTCGAACACTGCCAAATCTGCCCAGAATTCCAATCTACGTCTCAATCCTGGGGTTATGGTCCTCAATGGGCCAAGACGAGATCTACGAAAGATGGTTCAGGGCTCCACTGGAGAAACACGGCGCCGTGTTAGTCTGGTTCGCTGGAAGATGGAGTGTGCTCGTTTCACGACCGGATTGGTTGACTGATATGTTCCGCAATGAACATATATATGCGAAAGTCGGGAGCCAGATTAAGATTCCGCATGCTGTTATTGCGACGCTTGTTGGTGATAACATCATCAATGCCCATGGTGAGAATTGGAAGGTTTATACTGGTATTATGAAGGCCGGGTTGCAGAAGAAGGTTTTTGAGACAACGTCCTTGCTGAAGCAGTCGAGGAAGCTGGTCGATGTTCTAATCGATCTGCAGAAGGAGGTTGGAGCGAATAGAGGAATCTTGATTATGGCAGACGTACAGAAATGGGCTGTGGATGTGATGAGCGAGAATTTCCTGGACTTGGATTTGAAGGTATCAAGTCAACCTTGCCATGGCCTCCCTGAAACGAACATTCAATCTCTAATAGCTGAAAACTGAAGACAGAAGACTAACCCACACCAGAGTCTAGGCCAACCAAACGGCGCCGTTCGAATCGAAGCCCTCCAATCTATTATCAAAGCAACCCTCTTCAAACCAATGTACTTCAGCTTCCCGGACCTCGATCACTTCCCCTGGCTATTCCCGTCACGCAAAAGTGCCTACAATACAATGCGCGAATTCGACAACTGCCTGTACACAATGATAATGGCAATGCTTCATAAGCGCACGCAAATCAATCCCACCCAATCCAAAGACATGGTCTCACACATGCTGGGCGAAGCATACACATCAGGCCGCATAACCGAGAAACAATTCCGCGACAACCTCAAGATAACATTCCTAACCGCACATGAAAACGCCCAGCAACTGGTAACCTCGATGTTCTGGCAGCTGGGCACTCGAGTCGATATACAGGATCGGCTACGGGAGGAGATTCTTGATACGGCCAAAACTCACCCGAATCCATCCCAGGAAATTATAAACGGTCTGCCATACCTGACGGCCGTGGTGCTGGAGCTACTTCGTCTCTTCCCGCCTGTCTGTCAGCTCATTAACCGTGTCGCATTGCGGCCGGCACTGCTGGGTGGGGAACTTCCCATTGCGAAGGGTACATTTGTGGGGTGGAATGCGTGGGCGGTGCAAAGTAACCCGGATATATGGGGTGAGGATGCGCGCGAATTCCGGGCGGAGAGGTGGGGGGAGAGTGCTGAGGAGATGCAGGGGCGGTTTCGGAGGGAGACAGTTCGAGGAACGTATATTCCGTTTAATGCGCATAAGCGGAAGTGCCTTGGGCAGGGGTTTGCATTGTTGCAGGTGAAGATTTTGTTGTTTGTTTTGCTGGGAAGGGTTAGCTGGGTTGTTGATCCTGCGTATCGGTTGAAGATGACGCCAGTAAGTGTTTTTCTGCTAGGTCTTGATGATGTATGCTGATTTGTACAGGGTGGGATTCTAGTACCGCTGGGTTGTCGGGTTATTTTAACCAAGTTGGGGTCTTCGTGAATAAACAGAAGTAGACTGGACTGCTTGATGGGTGCTCGGTGGGGTGATCGACTAGAATGACGCAACGAAGCACTCTATAAAATCAAAGAAGCATGAATTGATGTCCAAGTACGAACAAATCTTGAAATGTAAGAGTTCAACGTACCCTGTCGTTGAAACAATGCGAAGCTCGGGGAAACGAGTGGGGCTGTTCTCGGCCCCGGACTACGTCTTTAATTTTGACCGCCTAGCTCACCGCCTGTGTTTAGTTACTTCCTAACCAGCCAAGCACAGTCACCGTACAAAACTAATATATAAAATCGTGAAATTGCTGTGCTGTCGACGTATTCAGATGTAAAAATACTTAGATTACAAACTATACTGCCGGCAAAATCAAATATGGTGCTGGTCAAGTCAGCGGGGACCCCTAAATCAAAGACTATGTTGTAGACAATATCTATTCTGGCTCGCAATTAGGTATTAACGTATTATTGTGGGTTGTATGTAGTCTCCCGTATTCTGTTTGCCTATCCTTACAAAATAGCCTGCCATTGTTCAGTGATAGCAGCTTCGAATTCGTACATCTTCACGCTCTCCAGAAGCACAAATGATTCGTATCGAAGCCCTCGTTCGCGGTCCTTACGATCGGACCACTGTTCGACAGTCCCGTTCCACACCCCGGCGTAGCCATCGAACAGTGATCGCCAGTAGCAAGCCTCAGCCGCCGGGGTCAGATATCGCTCACGGAAGGTCGTCACACTGTTATTAGCGATGCGCTTGGCGGCTTCGGTGTCGTTGACCAGGGGTTCCATCTTTTCGGCTAAGTCGCTGAAATCGCGCTCGACCTCGACATAGTTTTGATTGGGACCATCTGCTACCAACAGATAGTGGTGATGTTGGATGAACTGGAGTTTGTGTGCGACAATGACCGAATTGCAGGCCTGTCGGTATTTTAATGAAGCCGAGTACGACCGACCTGAATAGCGCACGTCGTCAGCTGGCGTCCTCGAGTCGCGGGAGAGAAGAGAAATTAGACTCACCTTCGACATGCGCAATAAACATATAATGGCAATGATCTTCCATCTTAAGGACATTGGAACCCGTGTTCCAATCAACCTGCTTGACATCGCCCCACGATTTGTCCCTAGCGGCCTCCATCAACGCGCGTCGCAATTTTGGAGCAAAACTGGGCTTGCCCCGCCAAACCAATTGAGGCGTTTTCTCTGACCAAGGAATATCCCTTCGTTTGATTCGTTCCACAACTTGGTCATACGGCCCCATGTAGTTGTCGCGGTTATCCCAGGCCCAGAAGCTAAAATCCGGCATGAGCCAAACCCCTTCCTCAGTCGGAGTGCGCGAAAAGACCCAAACCGGCCATTCCGAGTTAGTCACATCGTCGACCTTATCTTCCACCGAGAAAACGAATTCAAAGTCGCGTCTAGAAGCTCTTTCTGGGTCGGCGGCCAGCGCACGATGGATTGAGCTCAATGTCCCCAGAATTTTCCGTCGGTGATCCTCCCCCTTGGACCGCGCCGTGACCACGTATAATTGGCCATTAGAGATAAATGCACGCGCCATACCATGTTCGATCTTGATGGCGCCTAGTTCTACCGACGACAAGCGACCATGCGAAGACCAGAATTTGCCACCGCGCGCAACATCCTCGAATAACCCGGGGAAGGCAGCTTTGCACTGGCTCTTGTTGAGAGTCTCATTATGACCGTCGCGGGCGTATTCAAAGGACCAAACGGGGGACCGGTCTGTTTGTAGACCGGGTTCTGGGCAGGTGAGGCATGTCGAGCACTGGAAGGTAGTAGAGGATTCGCAGGCGCAGTGTCCGGCGGGGATTAACTGGGTGAGAACAGGGTGAATGTATTCTCGGTCGGAGTTCATGCCAAACCAAATGACGATGATGGCGCTGAAGCTAAAAGCGGTTATGACGCACAGAAGGGACAAGCCGCGTCGTGGGCGAATAGGAAATGAGGCTGTCATGGTAAAGATCCAGACTGGCACGGCATGATCTGGAAGTGTCTTGGAATTTGTCTGGAGGGATCTGGAGAGATCTGGAGGTGTCAGAAGGTATGCAGAGGAATTGTCTAAAGAGTGTTCAAGGCAAGAAACAAGAGAAGGGGGCCGATCAAGGCAAACCCTGAAACATGCCCCCAGAAATGGCAGTGATGCGCAACTACGGACGATCGCCGCTAAAACGCCCCCCGTACGGGCGGATTGGCGAGCCTCAGCCCGACACCCAGTGGGGGCAGCGGCGTCATCACCTGTTTTTGGGTTTTAACTGCGTTATTGGGGTTTTTGATTGGATCGATATAATGAGATTGGTTGGACGGGGCTAATCCTCCGATATGCATAGAAGAGACAGACAGTCAAAGAGAAGAAAGAGAAGAGAAATTGCCAAGACACCAAGTCACCGTCTCACCGAGCCTTTTCCTTCATTGTTGATTTTATTTGGGGGCGATAGTCGTATACTCCAACATAACAACATACTCTGTTCTGTTGATCTATACTAGTACTTGCCTCTAGTGGATAATAGCCGGGACGCTACGCCGTATAAAAAATAGCTTCAAAGGCTAAAGTGTGAAGAGGGCTCTGTTTGAACTACCGTTTCTAGTTCCTCCATCAAACTAGATACAAGTATAAGGAATGTCCCTAACAATATCTGTTTGATCGTCTAGTATGAGATCCATAAAAAAAAGCAATTGCCCCAACCCCTAGCCAACTTTCCCTGGCAGAAACGCCCGCTGCAATGCATGGAACATAACGCAAAATTTCACCTGAGGAGGATTCAAAAGCCCCGTCATTGTCTAGAGTGACTCCGCCCATGTCGTGTCCCCCGACTGCGGCCACTGGATGGAGCAGCCGGCTCATTGGCATCCATATCCGGGGTAGAAGGTACTGCTGGTCGACGTTGTCGGCTGTGTCGTACACGGTCGAGAGCTCGGCGCAAAAGGCCGTCAGCTTCGTCGTCGAGATCCATCTCAACCTTTTCATCTTCGGCCGGGGCTGTGGCTGTGGCGACATGGGCCACCTCCTCCGTCCATCCTTCCACAAAGGGCTCCTGACGCCCACGCCGTCGAGACATCTCTTCCGGGGCAACTCGCTCTTTCCCTTTATGTTCACGGGACCGGGTAGGTCCCCGGCGCTTGGAGGAGGCTGCGCTGGCTTCTCGCATACTCTCCTCAAAAGCCGTATGGTCCCTCTGTCGCCCCTCCAATGCCCAGAGCTCAAGTGCACGTGAAAGTAATGTACCAGCCACGCCTGCACCCCCGGCGGCATCGCCGCCACCACTCGCTCCAAGTACACGTACAGCCTCATGCAAGGCAGTCACGGCGTCCGTGGTTCGTCCCAACTCCAGTAATACAAGGCCACGAGACGTATGAAGAGAACCGGTCAGCCCGCGATCTTCGTAGCCCCCAACCCCAGATGCAGTAGCGATCGCCGCTGAGCCACCCGTACCACCACCCAAAAAAGGCGAGTAGCCCATGCTGCTGCCTCCTGCGCCCACGCGAAGACATTCATCGAATTCACGAAGGGACTCGGACAAACGGCCCATGCGACGAAGGGCATGACCTAAATTCGCACGTGTAGCTACCCAGGCACTGGGTTCGCAGTGGAGAGAAGTAGCTAGCGCCAGTGCTTGCCCAAATAATTCGACCGCGCCGCTAAGATGATTCTGATGGTAAAAGACCACTCCAAGCTCGTTGAGAACCAGTGGATCCCCACCAACCGCGGAGACAATCCCTGAGGGATGAGGCGTGAGGGAAGGCACAGAGCCGGGAGCAGCTCCAGTCGACATAGCGTGAGCAGCACATAGATACTCGTGCGCCAGAGACATATTGTTGAGAGCGAGATGCTGCATTCCTAGGAACAGTTGGGGGAGGTGGCTGCCCTGGAAAAGTCGAGCAGCAGTGCTATATGCTGCGATAGCTTGGTCGTGTTCACCCTCTGCGGCAAAGGTGTGCGCGAATCCAATCCAAGCTGGCGCCGAATGCGGATCTAGCAGTGACGCCTTCGAAAAGAAGCGCCGCGCCTCAGCCACCTTTGAGACTGAAAGGTAGTACACTCCGATTGCCAAGTATGTGTAAGGCTCCTCGGGCGAATGATCCGCGAGCATGTGAGAGAGCAAGAATAGGGCATTCGTGGCACCGGTCTCGTAAAGGCAAGCTAAGTGAAGCGGATAAATAGCTGGAGCATGGCCAAGGTTGTTCTGTGTCGGAATGCTGGGATTTGTGGACAGGTCGGTTGACTGAGATGCGGAGAGGATAGAAGATGTCAGTTCTAGAGCTTCTGCAAACCGACATTGCGTATACAGAGCTTCGGCGCGGGACAATAGAATGTCGGGATTCTCTGCAAGATTATAATGTGTGGATAGGGTTTCGGTGGCATCGGATAATATGGTGGGAGAGGAGTATTTTGATAGCCGGGTTGTGTAGAGCATCTTCGTGAAATGGGCGGCTTCTTGTGCCATCATCGGATCGGGGGATGAGACGGAATCAAAGTCCAATGATTCAAGGAATTCCAATTCTTCCGTGGGAGACATGAGCGAGTTCTTCATGAGCTGATCAAATGCTTCAAAACACTGCACGTCAATCCGCACGGCATCCTTGTAGCAATCTCGGGCACGATCAAATGCATTCTGCTTAGCGAAGCAGAGCCCCCGTAAATAACACATGGCGGCTTCAAACCGTACATTGTTGGCATCTTCGCGTTCTCTCTCCTCGGCTCGATCACTGCGCGGTGTCGCACTCTTCCCATTGCGCAGTGTAACATGGCTTTGGTGTTGGATTTTGCGCCGGGTGTGGTTATTGCGGATCAGGTCTGTGGGGTTGTGTTCACCGAGAATGGAGAGGGCTTGTTCGAATTGATTCTGTTTTATGTAGCAGTGCGCAGCAAGGTAGCGGCAGGCAGTGCTTCGAGAAACGAGATCTTTGCGGGAGAGGAGGGCTAGGGCGCGTGTGAAGTTGTTATTGGAAAAGTGTACCTGGGCTAGCCAAAACGCATCGGAGTCACTGTCTTCACAAGCAAGTCAGTATATCAGTATATTCGTAGTGCTTGTAGCCCTTACTAGTAAGTGCCAGGACTTTGTCCCCAATGTAGATTGCGGAATCATGCTGGCCACGGTTCAACGCGTCCTGTCGCCAGGAGCGCAGGAACCTTTCCATATTGACAGAGAAGATGTGTTAAAGAATGGATTCAAAGAGAGAACAGACATGGATATTTCTGTTAGAACCCGGAGATATGCCCAAGCAATGCGAGTCGCAGGCAACTTTCACATGAGCGGGTCCTTGCCCTATTTTGAACCAAACAGTGGTCCGTGCGTGCCTGTGATGGCGGAAGGTTAACTACTCCGTACATGTATGTACAATAATGTAGGTAGAGTGTTCGCCTAGAGAATATGTATTGGGTTAAGAAAGGGGCTGAATTACTATTAAAAGTCTCAAAATGATGGTAACTGGAAGACCTCCCCAGACCAGTATCATAGCAGTTTTTGTCTTCTATTATACAGAGGTCACGTGATGCATCTACTATGGGTAGAATCATACCAAGCGTAAATATGCTTCTCATAGGTACTTCTATACCAATTGTATAGAATCAATCATACGATCACAAGGATCTAATCGAAATTATTTTATATATTAGGACTGGTTATTCATGTTTTAGCTGGTGAGGGTTGGGGAAATGGACGTGATAAGTTATGTCTTTGTTCCTTTTGTATTGTATACTCATACAAAAAGTACCTAAGTTCAAAATCTGTTGGCGGGTGCCGTTGACTGGGCAGCGCGTAGCTCCAGTTCGGGGATTTCTGTTATCGTCATCCACACGTGACCTTCACCCTTATCGCCATCTGAAGCATCGGACTTAAGCGGCGATAACCGAGCTGATTGATCACGTGGCGATAACGATGCCCCCGATAATGCCAGAGCTTCTCTTGCGAAGGTTTGTTTCTTTCTCATACTTCCCATCGCCATCAAAATCCATCATGGCTGAGCGAAAGGTTCTTTCAAAGTATTACCCCCCGGATTTCGATCCTTCGGCCATCGAAGGCTCTTCGAAGCGCTCTCGCAAGGATGGCAAATCATCCAAGCTGTCCCCTGTCCGCCTGATGACACCCTACTCGATGAAATGCACTCACTGCGGCGAGTACATTCCCAAGGGTCGCAAGTTCAATGCGCGCAAGGAGACTCTCGATGAAAGATACCTGTCGATTCCAATCTTCCGGTTCTACATCCGTTGCACTCGCTGCAGCGGTGAGATCACTTTCCGTACCGACCCCAAGAGTAAGTTTGAGACCATCCTGCCACCACTTCGCTATATACAACCTAACATCAATTATTAGACAACGACTACAAGTGTGAGCGCGGCGCAAAGCGCAACTTCGCAGTTTGGCGTGACGACGAGGACGAGAAGTACAACGACGAGACCGAGGCGCAGACCCTCAACCGACTCGAGAAGGAACACGGCGCCAAGGAGGAGCAGCTGGAACGTGACAAGATGGCTGCACTCGAAGACAAGATGCTTGACTCCAAGCGCGAGATGCAAATTGCCGACGCACTCGACGAAATCCGAACCCGCAATGCCCGCATCGAGCGCACCGAAGCCCGTGGTGACGAGGCTGCCGTCGCTACTGTTCAGGAAAAGATCGACGAGGAGGCTCTTCGAGCGGCGAGAGAGGAAGCCGAGGACAGAGAGAACTTGCGCCAGGAGTTCAGACGCAAGAAGGCTGAAGCGATGGCTGCTAAAGCGGAGCAGGAATTCCGTGAAGCTGAGGCGGCCATGGCGCGTAAAAGTGAGCTTGGAGGGTACTGGGCGAAATTTGCCCGCCCTAAGAAGGACAAGGACGCGTCCTTGGCTAAGAAATGATCTTTCAGCCTCAACGAACAACCCGGAGATAGCGACCGTGTCGTGGTGACCCCACGTTGCACAAAGGTCCTTCTTCAATCAATGAAATGAATTATGATAACGTCTTAATGGTCTTCTTTGTAGTTACAAATAGTCCCGATTGGACCAGTCAACGTAGGGCACAAGTACGGAGTAGTCATGATTTATCACTCTCACAGCTCTCCTCCCGGAGAACTGTTTGCTACTGCATTTTCCCTTTAACTCGCATCTAAAGAAATGACAGATCTTCTTCTAGTATGTCCTGCCGTGGCCCGTCACCGTGCTCGGATCTAGTCCGCGACCTTGAGTTTATAGGTCTGGTAATCTGTCGGTGGATACCCCTTCTATTGTCAGTGATACCTCAGCTCGTGAGACCTGTATCCTCGGCAATCTACGACGTTTCTTTGATACTAGCACAGCATGGTGAGCATCAGATCTCACCTCCACCTCAATTGGAAGCAATCAGTGGACACTTCACCCTTCAGAGGCCCGATGTGCATGTCGAGCTGCACCTGAGCCCCAAGTGTTCTGGCGAATGTCATGGCCAAAAGGACAGCAGCGAATACCATGGGGAAAATACATCATGAGCGAATGACTAAATCGGTTATACAATGGCCTCAGACACGCTCAACGAGAGAACGTCCTGCCGAATGGAGTCACTATCTACGGCGCAAAGCAACGGCAAACGAATTGCCTAATTGTCAATGTATTCAATGGCAGGAGATCTCGAATAAGAACTCCGCACTGGTTAATATATCTGGAAACCGATTGATGGATGGAGATAGCCTTGGTGGACGGCTGGGAGAAGCTGTTACCCATCTTACCGCAAAATCGTCGACGACATGTTCAACAGACTGCACAGAGAAGACAAGATCAACCAACAAAGCCTATCCGGGCGCGAATTTGCTTATGAATCATATACCTAATTCCATAACTACTCCAAACGTGAGTGTGGATCGCCGAACTTCTGCTTCGCAATATTGATCAGTGAGAATTAAGTCCCGGATGGCATATATCGTATGCGTTGGTTACAGATTACAGGTTACAGGATGAAATTGGCAGATAACAGTCAAATCGAATTAAATCGATCCATTAACAACTATCAGAGCTAACATTCCGAAGTATCAAGACATCGTAGAAGGTATTAGAACAAAAAAAAAATCGGTATCACAATCATAGTAACGTGAAGTAAATCTGCGCACCTAGCGCCCACGCTCAGAAAAAAAACAAACCCAGACAAAGCCCCCTCTTCAGAAAGTACAATAGCCATAGTTCCCCGCGCCAATTGACAGGACAAAAACACGCAAACCGACAAGCATCGCTCACAGATACGGCATCCACAATGCATCGCATGACGCTAGATGCTGGGGGTTGACTGCCTTCGAGATCAGATCGATGGTGGTCTGATTGGCAGGCAAGTTACCCTCCGGTGGACTGGCAAGACTGACAGCACGGTTGACGATGATTTCACTGTTGTTGTAGACCAGATCGCGGAGTTGTCCAGGGGGCAAGACACCTCGGTGATGAGCTGTAGCCCAGAACATCATTTCGTCGCGCACAAAGACGCTGAGCTGTTGCTCCAGCTCGTGTCGTGGCTCCGTCAGGCAGCGGGCGATTGCCATCATCGCACAGGCGAACACACCCTCCGTTGCAATCGGACCCAGGAGGGTCTGAATGTTGGGTGTGAACCGGAAGGGGACTTGCTCGGGGTTGTAGAAGAACGCCTTAGCCGGGTTGATAGTCGGGATCAACTCTGCACCCCAGATATCGCCTGTTGAACGAGAAATCAAGATTTTGTTCGGGTATCTGTTGCCGATGTGCATGACGTAGGTCATGAAAGCAATCGCCGCGTACTGGTAGGCAAATTGACGACGGAAGAGCCAGAAGTCTGCGAAGTTGGGGTATGTCTGCTGGCAGTATTCCAACACGACAGTACTCGGGACCCATTTGTCTTGAATCGCGGTCAGGATTTCTGTCCGAAGAACCTGTTGCTGGTCGGGCGTGCGCTGGGAGTTGTTAGCTTTTGATATGAGAAGGGTGTACGGCACACTTACGTTCTGCTTGGTCTCTGCCAACGATCGCATCTTGTCCATTGTGAAAAGCACCGGGTCATCCTTGTTAATGCCCTTGCGGCGGCAGTAATCCTCATAAATTCCCTGCATGGAGATATACGAGGAATCGTCACGCACCAGCCGAATGTGTGGTGCTAGAGGAACCATTAACGGCAGATGGAAGTACAAATTGCGGCGACGACTCTCCTTGCGTTTTGCAAGAAGACCATTGAAAATTCGGAATAGTTGAAGAATGCGTTCTTCACGCCTGCAGTGACGGGCAGCCGGATGCTGGACGGCAAATGCTTGCATGCTGCCATCGTGTCCGCGAATCTTCAAGCGGCGATGACAGACACCAATGCCTCGGATGAGGTCCACATCTGGAAGGAAGCGGTCGATGCGGACAAAGTCTTGGTTCTTATCCTTGTGGAGTAGATATTGGCCAGGAACCTCGACTTCATCAAACTTGAGGAAGCGGAACTCACTCAGATGAGGTGAAGAGTTTTCGAGGAATGTGTGCTGTGATCTCCGGTCGAGCTTTTCCTCGAACTTGTCACGCCAGCGCCGCAGCTTGTGGATGTACTCGTTCATGGTTGGCTTCTTGGTCACAAAGTCCGCCTCGAAGGACTTGCGAATGTGAGCTGGGAGAATTGTCTCCGCGAATCGGGTGATGTTGGCTTCGGTTGCGGCAGGCAGCTTAAAGTCTTGGGCATAAGATCCAGGCATGCGACCCACGTAGGCCAGTCCGTCGTTCAAGAGAGCAACTATGAGTCGGTATGCATCTTCGTCTGGGGGACACTTGAAGTTCTTGTGGATCTGGTCAACCATTGTCTCCATAGACAGAGCAAGCAAGGGGAAGGCCGTCTTGAGTCCAGACATGATTTCGTCCGAGTACTCCCAGGGTTTCTTCAGAGGTTCCTTCTCGCCGTCTGCAAGTGCAACCTGATTCTGCTGCGGTGTTCCAGTCTGACCTGGCACTTGTAGATGAGTTTGGTGCGCTTGGCCCGGAGGTTGGCCAGCATGTGGGGATGCCTGCATAGGGTTTTGTGGCTGCGCAGGAGACTGGATTTGTGCTTGGGCTAAATTCTGCGTAGCAGGTGAATTCGCAGGCGGAACTGACGGGGAGGGATTGGTCGATGCAGCTGCAGCCTGGGCTTTTTGAGCAGGAGAACTATCGGCACCAGCAACAGGATTTGGCTTGGTACTTGGCGAGGATCCTTGCTGCTGCTGTCTGGCCCGGTTCAACTTCTCTTGCTTCTGATCATGCTGTTTCTTGATGCTCAGCATGTCCTCTCTGTTCGTGCGAAGCAAGAAGAAGAGGGCCTGTGGATACAACTTGGCAATTTTGACTAGGACAGCCTTGCAGAGGCGCGCCTCCCGATGGGACAAGCTAGTGAGGAGTTGAGGAATGAAAGTGATCCAGTACCACACCGGGGTATCTCCCTTGAAGTTTTCGAAAGCACTTGCGATCTTTCCTTCGTCGTTGTCCAAACTAAGAAGCCAGAGGATTCTGCTAAGCAGTTTCCGGGATTTCGCGCTCTTGTAAAGGCCAGCCGCCTCCAGGTAGCAACTAACAGCATTGCTAGCCAGCTCGTAGTCAGTCGGGTCAGCCTTGAACCGCTGGTCACTATATTGTCCCCATTCAGACCACGCCTTAGCAAGGCGGAGATCATAGTAGAGAGCAACTCCAAACGCCTCATTGGCCTCATTGACATGATCAAGCTTGGCGAGGAACATGCCCTTGAGTGTGTAGAATTCAGCCTTCTGCTGTGGCCCGAAGTAGTTCAGATTAGTATTATTAATCACATCTAGCCCGCTGTTGAGCTCCTTCGGATTCTGGTAGTGACACTTCGCTTGCTCCCGAAGCTTGAGGAAGGCCTCTTGGATTTCGATGTTCGGAAGGGTATAGATACGGCTGAGTTGGTTGATGCAGACCTCTGGCATCTGGTGCTTTCGAGCTACATGAGCGAATCGGTTGATGATCCAGGCTGTTTCATGGTATCCACGGTAGGCGTAAGAGTTACTGGCCACATTATTCGTCTGTGGGGGCAAAAGACTGAGGTAGGTGCCGTTGATGAGCTGGAAGATGTGTTGACGCCAGGTGACGAGATCTTGCCATGTGTTGATGTCATCCCAGAGATTGGGCAAGCGGTCTCTCCAGGTTCCAAGAAGAAGCTTGAGCTCGGCAGACTTGGTATCCAAGTTTCTTTCATTTGTCTGAGCCAAGCTGCTACAGATGTGGCTGGCATCGTGCAGCTCAACAAGAAGTTGGAAATGCTGCAAGATGGGAATATGGGCGTTGGTGATGCGCTTCGGCAATTGCAGCCACTTGCGAATGGAGAGCTGGATAGACTCGTCGCAAACGCTGTTGAAGTCCTGGATATTGTCCTTCTTGGTGTGATATTGGAGAAGGGCCATGAAGGCCTGGAAGAAGGTGCGCCTAGGAGTTGGAGCATCGGACACAGACTTGATCAATGACTCAAGCTGCTCCCGGTTACCCTCGCTCTGCCAATTTTCAATGTTCCTCCAAGCAGCCTCCAACAAAAGATCGTTCAGGTTCTCATGCTTGGCGAAGTCGCTGAGAATCTCCCACTGCTGGAGCTTCTGGGCGCAGATCAACCAATGATCCTCCCAGACAAAGTATTCGCCCTGTGAGAATGGCATGGCACCAGAGCGGGCCTTGATTTGGGCATTCTCATAGAGTTGTTGAGCCTTGTCCCACATTCCTTGTTGTTCATACGAAAGCGCAGCATTGGTTTCAACAAATTTGCAACGACGGCGCCAGGTTCCGTAAAAGAAGTCATCCTCTTGGAGGCCTGCGTACACCTCAACGAGCGCATCCAGGTTGCTTTCGCGCACAGTAGGTGTGTCAATGATGGGATTAATGGCACTTTGTTCAAGGTAGATCGCAGCAGTGTACCATGCATCGTA